TAGTAGACTACACATTATTATGCAAATTTGCATTTTTATGAATACAAGTGAAAACGTAGAACGGCAGATACGTATATTTGTTTCGTTTACTAAATTTCGATAAATATTCAATTAGATGTCGAAATAATATATTACGTCAAATTTTTTATACGTTTTAGCATATTGTGTAAAATGATATTTTGTATATATTATTATACACAAAATGTTTCAATCTCAGTATGTTTTTGAAAACTATAAAAACTAGAAACAACATCTTGTATAATAAAGTGATAAAAGTAAATGAAATAAATAAAGTAAATAAAGTGACAAAGTAAAGTATAATAAATACCTATATAGAAAAAAGAAGTGAATGAAATAAACCAAAATAAAAAAATTCTTCTCTTATCTGTTAACAGGCAACCGATTGGTGGTTGAATGACATGTACCTGTCTGTGCCTCTGGCTTTACCAATTAATAGTAACCCTGGCCTTGCGGCAAGGCCCAAAACATTTAGCAACCAGAAAGAAGCTGCAGTGTTCCTCGCCAGGTTTTTAACAGAGCTGCTAAACTATCAAGAAGTATTAGATAGGTAAGAATAGCCTTTTCATAATACTTAATGATGGAATTCACAAATTATAAATATGAACCTAATTAAGGAAGTATTGCGGGTAGAATGATCTCTTCAAAAAAATCGAACGTACCTATGGAAACACGTTTTAGGCAATTTCGATAGGAGAACATTAAAATTTCAGTACCGTATTGTAAACCTCGCAGCTGTTGTATACAGTGCCGGACAAAAGTATTCTTATACTTTTGAAAACGGAATAACTTTTTTCAAATTGGGCAAACAATTTTGAAATAGTTACAATCTGTTGGAACCGCGAAGAAAAGAGCGAAGGATACTTTTTGTAACTTCTTTATGTAATTGAAAATCAATGAAAATTTAAATAACACATTTTAAAGAGTTATGTTAGCTATATACACACTGAAAATTTCGTGGGCATCGCTTGAAGCTTCTATGGGCTACAACCAGTTAAAGATGATAAAAATAACATTTAATAAAATATAGATTAAGATAACTAGAGATAAATATAGATTAAGATTAAGATATAGATTAAGATAATAAATCTACATTTTTGCCCATATTTCGGTGCCAGTTGTTTCTGGATCAACCGATTTCGACGAAATTTTCACCGTGCATATAACTGACATAACTCCTCAAAATCAGCTGTTTAAATTTTCATTAAATGCCCATATAAGAAACCATATAAAAACCTTTCTTTACTTTTTTCTTCACCATTTCGACCAACTGCAATTTTCTAAAAACTCTTTTTACGCGTCATCTAATAAACTAATGCCTCTAACTTCTCGCGAAAGCTCAAGTCGTCCCGTGCAATTTGAAAAAAATTACGCTTGAAAAAAGTTATTCTATTTTCAACGATGTTCAAAGATGAATACTTTCGTCCGGTACCGTATGTACGCATACATGAAAAATATACATATCGTAATTCTACGCGCGTTAATTGCAAAAACCACGTTTGTAATCTACACACATTCTGTACAAAACTTGATATATTAAATGTGTACATTAAAATAAATTAAAAAGGTAAGAATAATAAATGGGTAAGAAGATTCGTAAATAAGTATCGTAGCATTATCAGTTGCCATAATGTTATGAATATGAATGATGTTATGAATAACGTAATGTTTGAATGAATCAAAGAAGAATGGTCGCCTTTTCTTATGACTCATATTTTTCTTAAGTATAAAAGTCAGAGAGTGGAGGGAAAAGGAAAGGAAACAGAAAGAAAAATGGAAATGGAACGACTGGGGGAGGAGATTCGAAAGTTAGGAGTCTTTTAAAAAAACGCCTTTATCGCGGATACGGTTCGAACCATCTTAGAAGAGGCTGACTAACGATAAGCTAATCGCCGACGCGAGGCTTACAGCCGAGGTGGAAGAAGGCGAACGCACGTGGAAGAAACACGGTTCGCACTAGAAGGAAGAGCTTCGTCATTTGAGACGGTGATTCGAGCGGAGGACAAAAAGAAGCCGCAGCAAAATCAATTTATTGAGGAAGCAGCACGTCTGCAAGGAAATCCGGCTTGTAGGATCCATAGAACACGGCCATAAAGAGAGACTCGTCGAGACGCGAGCGAAACGCAAAGGATACTTCTGCATAGAAAGCCTCAAAGCCCTCGGTATCCTGTATCCGGACGGGAAGGAACCACCGACTGCGAGTGCCTCTTTCTTTTCGGCAACTAACGCAAATTCGCCGAGACGTACTAAGACTGACAGTGAATCGTATTGCTGCTTTAAAAGATACAATATTTTCTCCATAATTGGTCGAAAATCGAATTTTCTCGGCGATGAATTATCGGTATACAGAACTCGATTGTATAACGATAATAATTGTGATAATTATATAATAATGGTGACTGTATAACAATATAATAAGAGAAAGTGGTGCGAGAGTCGACTGATGAAAAGAAACATATCGGTTGGACAATGTTAATGTAACAACAGAACTTTTTTATTTTCAATTTTTGTTGAATAAATCTATTACCGATGTAATTGCGAGATTTTTTTAATTAAACAAGGCCCAACACGATATAATTTGGAGCATATTTGTTTACTGACTGACATTAACTTATTTTCTTTCGTCTGTTATATATACAATAAACATTGGATTGTTGCACAAAAGTCGGGACGCAGGTTTTACAATTATTTGAAGGTAGGAACAATTCTACTTCTGAAAACCGAGGTCTTAGACGTCTCGAGCGTAAAGAAAAACAACGCGAGTGAAAGAGAAACAGGAATTGAGAATCGAAGCGCTCAGCGAACATTAAAAGTCCTCGACAAGCTGAACCCTTTAACTGAAAAATCAAATTTTCTTATTTTTAACTTGTGACCAATACTTTTATCAACATTTTCGTTACCTTTTTCTGGTTAAAACGATTCCAAACACGATATAATTTGACGCATATTTGGTTACTCTATACATGACAATCAAATACATTTGGGAAAGTGTATAATAAATATAATTATGTCGTGTTTGGTATCATTTTAATCAGAAAAGTTTCACAAATATGGCAATAAAAGTTTAATTTAAAAAACGTTGAAAATAAAAAAGTTTCACTTTTAAATTTGCATCTACGTACATCGTCTCAGCGATATCTGACATTGGATCACGTTAAACCACTCGACCACCGCGGGTTGTCGAACTTCTCGATGCGTTAAGGGAAACCTCCTCCCCGTGGTAGGATGCCGACCATGCAATCAACGAGGGGTTATTTTTCTGCAATTATCGCCTGTTTACTGTACATATAAATGTAATTTAAGCTATATCGTGTTTGGTCTCATTTTAACTAGAAAAATCTCACAAATATGTTAGTAAAATATTGATTTTAAACAATCAGAAATGGAATAGTTTCATCATTGTCTCATGGGTAATTAGCATTGTTTCATGGACGATTGAAATCGGATTACACATTTCAGTTTTAACTTTTTTATAGTTGTGGAGGGGAACTCCACTCAACGGTGGAGATGACGATCGACCGGTTATGAGAAACATACTGGCGATAAATTACAGAAAAAGTACTGCAGTTCTTCTTCTTCGATTTGGCGATTGAAGAAATTGCACCAATAAGGAGTCAGATTTCATTTTATATACGTATTAATCATATGTTATTAGATGTATATAAATGAATAATCAAAATTTTTTGATGGTGCTGGAAATTTATTTAAAAAATTATTATTATTATTCAAACAAAGTATTTGTTTTTGTTTTCTATGATCTTAATGATGAATTTCATTATGGAAGAATGGAACGTTCAAAACAAAGGAGAACGTCTTGTGAAATTTCTGCACGACAATACTGGATCACACTGCTTCTACGACAGAAGACGTGGCAACGAGTCTTATGTAGGACATGCTGCAGGAGCCAGTTTATTCGCTAGACATTATTGCTTTAGATGACTACCAGTTCCGATTACTGCAACACGCTTTATTCGATGCTCACTTTTTCAACTAGTCACCGGATGGAATAAATCGTTGAAGATTAGATCTCGTCTAAAGACACATTTGACATAATTCATCGTTTCGCTGATAGATGACTCAAAATTATAGAAAGCAACGGCGAATAGTTTGACTGAATAACATTCTGTATCTTTTCTCAAGTAAACCTCGGGTTCGTTGAAAAATTGGAGTTATACATGTCGGAGATGAAAGGAAAGCCGAAGCCTTTCCTTGGAAATTTTTGGGAACATCCTCTAGTACTCTAGCCAGAATTTTATCATAGCTATAATTGTTCGAGATTTGTGATAGCGAGATTGGGTTCGAGGTGACAATTGGTCGTCGAACGTAGCCACGGTCACGGGATGGACGTTTTGCCTAACAGAGGTTTGGAGTGGTTGTATGGGTTTTCCGACAAATGTGGTTGTGAGCGGCATGCGGCCTCGGGAGCGGGCCTAGCCACGTATGATGTTGCCTCGGAGGTGCCGATACAATGGGACATACATTGTATTAATAATCAAACTCCAGGCAGAAACTGCCTAGCAACGGCGTTTGGAACTTTCTCGATGCTTCCAACGAGTGTGTATCAAACTTCAGGCAGAGGCTGCCTAGCAACGGGCGTTTGGAACCTTCTCGATGCTTCCAAACGAATATAAAAAACAAATGCAATCGTACAGCGAGAAAGATCTCCACGAGGCTGGCATTCGTGCGATTGCCTTGGAGAGTGACACATCGAGCATTTTCAACAATCGTATTTTGCGCCTATGATTAGTTTACGCTTAGGAAAGAGTTATCCCGTTGACCGTGGATTCGTTTGAACCCAAAAACATTGTTACTAGTGTTCATTAAACTTATCATTCGTACAATTTATTATTCACTAACTTTATCATCCGTCAAATTTATTATTCATTAGACTTATTATTTGTTAAGCTTTGTGATAGTCTTGTATATTGTATATATATAGTCTTGTAATAGTCGTGTAAATATAATCTCGGCTTTGTGAAACAATGGCTAATTCACGTGAAGAGTTGTTACAAAATTCTAATCATAACCCGACATACATTTGTACACCTAATATTTATAGAATGCACACTTGCACAATGTCGCTTATCCATATGGGTCTGCGTGGAAGTTCAAACAGCCGTGTTTTAAAAACGTTGACACCTCTTCACGTGACGCTCTGTTTATCGTTTCTTCGGTCGATAATACAATGAGCGAGACAGTAGCACCGCCTTTCGACGCACAAGTTATAATCGTTAAGCTTTAGTCGTTGAGGGCACAAAACTCACTGAAATTTTGCATAAATCGCGACTACAGTTTGGGGATGAAACATTATCGAGAACCCCGAGTGTTTGCGTGACGTTTTCCAGTGGACGTCGATACGTTCAAAACACGTCGCGTCCGTGACGCGTGAGACAAGTGTAACGCCAGCAAACATCGATGCTGTTGGGGAACTGATCGAGCACGATCGACGCATAACAATCGACAAAATCTGCCCGAAAGTTAATATTAATCATGGAAACGTGGTTTCCCTCATTCAGAAGGAGCTACGGTTCCGCAAGACAGCGATTACTTAAAGAGGATCAGGAGGACGACGTTTCAGCAGCAACGAGGAAATAGAGTAATTCGCGTGCAATTGGCTTCTGACTCAGCCCTCCACTTTCTACGAAACTGGAATGAAAAAATTACCGATCCTCTGGCAAAAGTATATAGAGACAAATAACTCGAATATGTCGAAATACGTCGAAAAATAACTTGATTGTTCTTTCTGAAATATTTTACTGAAATATGAAACTATAATATATAAATACAAAACTATAAAATATTCTTAAATAAAGTTATTTTAAATGAATTATTAAATAAAACTATGCAAAATATAAAGAAATATAAAGTTCGGTTTATATCTGACTGACCCTTATATATGTATCTGTCTCGTAAAAGAAAATGCGAACTTTCATTTAGTCAACGATAAAGCAAAGAGGAAGAAAAATTCTTGCAAGAAGAAGATCGATAACTACGATAATGAGATTATTAAAATTATACAATTATACAATTTTCTTATCGCAGATCCGGTTTGGAAATTGAACAAGTGAAGTCGAAAGATGGAAAGACTATGCAACCTCTGTGCATGGCCCAACATTACCAAATGTACCGAATATATCGACGACCAGGATCAAACAGTGACGAGCAAGTTATTCTTGATAGAACTACATCGGGCAATCATATCATCGTTGCTCACCATAATCAGGTATATTTCTAAATACTCGAAACGAAACATGTTACGTGAAATTCTAGCGACGTGATCTAAGGACCTTTAGTAATGAGTAAATACATTCTATTGCTTTACTACGTCTTTTCGCCACTATATCGATTTTTTTGGTAATAGGATTCGTGGCTATGTTAATAGATGGAATTTATACTTAAATTTCGAACATACATTTGAAGATACCGTGATATTTAATGACCAAGTAAAGATGGAATTAATAAAAATCTATTAAGAATCTAGTCTCTCCAAATACGCATGCTTTGCGCCCAGTAAAATTTTTCTATATAGACCCTTTTTAGATCCTTCATCCTTCATAGATCCTTCATGGATCCTTCATAGATCCTTTTTATATTCAGATATTACATTTACACATGCACGTATTTATTGACTTTTTACATTTACCTATATATGTCTATCTAATCTATCTAAAAATTTTCATCTGCCATACATACGCATCCAGCGTGTACGTTTTAAGTATATATATACGATTATTTCTGTAATTATCAAAAATATGAAAAAGTGTTTCAGGCAAAAGTTGTATGGTATCGACTTGACTATTGTATTTCAAACTAAATGATTCCATTGAAAACTGTATTGTATTTAAAGTTGTATGATTCCACTTTCGTACGACCTCTTTACAGAAAAACTGATTACACCTGATTAAGTCTCCTTCGATACCACACAACTTTTATCTGAAATATCTTTTTGTACTTTTGATACTTACGTATCAAATAATTGCATAGACATTTGCGTAAAAAATTGTGCGTATACATTTAACGCGGACATACTGTATACGTCAGTACATATTAAAACAAATCTTCTCAAACAATATCCAATTGAAGATCTTTTGTTCTCCCTTGTCATTCTTATTTCTTTTCGTTTCATATTTATTTTACAGAAATACCGTTTCACGCCAGCTGTTCCACTCATACACGTGCAATTTGATTCCTATTTACGCTTTACTTATTTTAAGTTATGCAAGCTTAAGTAAGTGCACGAATATTTCATAATATTATTCAATAATATAACAATTTTCTAATATAATTCGATCAAATAGTTAAGAACTTCTCAACCAACGTTTTCCTCACCTAAAATTACTTGCTTTTGAAAATTGGAGAATACAAAATTTTTAAATGATCTCGTCATTTGAAACTGGAAATTGTAAGAAATACAAATCTGAAAAAGAATTATCTTCTTAATACGGTACTAGTTCTTTTATCGCTGTTTTAAATTTTCTTATATACATAATTCGTATATTTTATATGTACATATACGGTTATAAAATATGAAAACATTGATAGACATTTTATAGATACAGTTCAAAAATTGGTAAATATAAACAGTGCAAGAATGCACTTTGCGAAATTGAATTTCGGGCTCTGGAATTGAAAGATTAGACGAACACAAGTTATCCACTCATATATTACGTATATAAGATACATAAATAACGTGACAAAGAAACACTTGAAGGTGCCAAAAACAAAAAATATGTATAAGCTTACAGAATATATGTAGATGTAAGATCTAAATATCAACATATTACACATTACATATTACATATTTTTATCAGCAATCATGCACGTTAAAGGACTGAAAACAGCCCTCAAAGTCAATTTTCGAAGTCTCCAATATGAATCATCGAAGAGTGCTGGTAAAAAAATTCTGTAAATGCTAAGAAACAAATTTTTCAGGAGGAAGAGAAATCTTATCGATGTTACACATTGACGTAGTCGAAATTCATAAAAAAAATGGTACCTGGAGAAAAGCCTGTATGTGCCACCTCTTAGTTGTAAGAAAAGAATATTCCATTCGTTTAGATAAATGGCATAAGACAAAAGCCAAGAGACAATTAACTAATGTTTATTGGCACATTTTTTTCTGCAGGGGCGACGTTGTGACATCATTTTCTGGCATTATTAATAATATTAAGATTACTATTATTAATACTATTAAGATTACTATTTAGAAAGAAAAATTCCACTTAAATTCTATACCACAGTATTCTCATTGATATGTGGAACATTTTCCACCAAAAGATCAGAATTTTTCTATCATAGCACCTACAGTGTTTTGTACAAACACTCTCCCATTAATTTAGTCGAATAAAGCAATAACACCACAGTGTGCAAACTGATTTGACATTCACAAAATCGTTATTTTCTCATCGCTACAATATTTAACGAGATACTCGGATCAATGGATATGTATAAATTCAGAGAGTGAACTTTTTCACAGTTTTATAGCGTGCCTGTTAGGGCTTCCGACCGAGGGCGCATAACTGAAGCCGAATTAGTTCAACAAATTCTAAAGATCATGGCAACTAAAGCTGATCCTAGAACTCCGCCAGTCGGTATCCTCACAACGATGAAAAGACCAGCTTGGGCAAAAGCTAGAGAAGAATTACTCAGACGTACGTATGTTTATAACTTTCTCTTTAACAGTAATTATGCGATTAATTTACCAATACAACACCCTTGCAATAGTCACACTGATATATTAATACAGGAATTAAAACATCCAACTAAAAATAAAATCTTCGAGTTATAGAGGTACGACTTGCCGAAATTTCCGAGTAAAAAAAGTTTAGCGATTGAAAATTCGATATGCGGAAGCTTCGTACGAAGTCACAATTTAGTATTTTAAACTTCCGCTTAGAACACATTTTATTCGATGTACACAATTGCAGAAGCTACAGACGTGGAACATGGCATTTACGCGTTCGACTAATGAACGATTAGCCTTTTACGCGCGTGTTCGAAGAGCGAAGCAGTAAGAATACAGCTTGTGTCGTCTTACGTTATTAGAGGCGATCCTAACGGTTAGAAGAAAGGAAACAATATCGAATGATTGGTTTCTCACATCTTGTGATACGCGGCATAGCTATAGGTGCATTTCGACTTGCAGAGATAAACTTCGACCTGCAAAGGTCTGGCTATTGCAAATTCAAGTTTCAGAGGTAAAATAACGCATCTGGACAGGTGGCAAATAATTCGAGTTAAAGTGAGTTTTATCTCGACTTCTAGAGGTTTTCGCAGCACAAATGAAGAAAGTTGTAATCTTATAGAGATTTTCGAACTATAAAGTTTATTAGATTGCAGCATATCATAAAATGTTAAAGAAAAAAGAACAAGAAATATTTATATCCATTTGCTGATGTCGATATACTCTATACAAACGAAGGTACGACTCACACCATTGCCAAGCAGTTAGAGTAATCTTGTTGCAAGTTCTCCGGCAACCCTTGCTGCTACATACCCTCCTACGGCATAATTAACCGGCTGTTCTGCTCTCGCCAATATTCGCAATATTCCCATTATCCTCGTAACCCGACCTTACCCAATGACAACCTACGACCTACGTCTATAAATCGAATGAAGGTGTAACAAGCTAACGACGATACGTGGTTGGGTTCGTTTCCTCGTCGTGCAGAGCAAGTATCTTTAACCCTTTATCAGGTCGTTATCTTTAACCGAAAAATTTTATTACATGACCAGCCTATTGGCGACATTTCTAAAATTTTTACAAATTAAAGTTTATGCTTCTTGTCTTGAGAAGGAAAAGATCATAAATGTTTGTAAATTTATATATATGTATGCAATAGTCTTGTGCATATGTATGCAATTGTTGTATTCCATGTTTTATTACTAAAGATTCTAATTTATATAATTATAAAGTAATTATTAAATTTGCACTTTTTGTTTCATTGCATTAAAGTTTGATTTGGAACAACTTCATACTACATTGACAAAAAATAAAATGAAAAAGGTAATTTGTAGCTATTTCTAATTTGAAAGGTAATAAAATGAAATATTTCACGAACAAAATTGTTTTACGAACAAAATTGTGTTATATTAACGTTATTAAATTTGCTAGAATTTTCGTGCACAGGTTGACAAATTTTTGCAAATAAGCATTCATATTGAATCGAGGAACGAGGAGTAAAAATTATTGAGCTCAAACGAGTCGACTAAAAAAAATGATTGAATAACAGTAAATTTTGAAAAATAAGATATTCCGTATGCCTATAATTATTTTATCTCGATTACCAACGATAAAATTTATGGATTCAGACTTTACTGAAGCAATACATTTCAAAGTTACATACATCACTAAGAGTTCTTATAACGTCGACAATGTATCGACAGTATGCCACTTTCATGGAAGAATCGTTGCTAGTCAATTGTGCGAGATTTTCCCTTGCTCTTATTAAATACACAATCAAGAAACACATTCTAATAGGAAACTGTAATTACGTGAGTAATAAACGATAATATAACCCAAAGAAAGAAATAAAGGCAAAAGAATTTTGCAGACGAGCAAAATCGGCACAATCTGGAATTGCTGGAGAGATGTCTGTGCGTGGTATGCATCGACGACGATGTACTGCCAACAACGTTCAATAATCCCCTGAACAAGGAAGATCGATGGATCGGCGACCGAGATTACGCTAACGTGCTTCATCATGTTCTCCACGGCGGAGGTTCCAGACATTTGGGTGCAAATCGTTGGTTCGATAAAACTTTCCATGCTATTCTTGGCAAGGTATATACCTACCTACAACTACACGCTATACCCGATTAAAAGAAAAATTGTAGTTTCACATTGAAGCAACAACTTTTTCTCCGCGCAACGTTATTTCTGCCCACTCGAGAGTTATTCTTATTCGAGCGATCTGTTTCATTTTCCCATCCAAGTTCCTAGGTCGGTTTGTCATTCCGCATAGGAATGGGAAGAAAACTTGGAAAACATATGTACACGTACATAACTGGTGGTTACTTCGATGATAATATAGTCGTTACTTCTATTACGGTCGCTAGCACATTTCCATGATAATTTGTAATTTCTCTCTTTCTGCTCTCGTTTCATGCTATTATATTTGAACCAATAAAGCATCCTGATCGCTTTATCCTCTCTCCCGATGCAATATCCTGTCTAGATCCACCGAATTCGTAACAATCAGTAACGACTAACTCATTTTCGCCACTTAATGTATCCTTCGTGTGTGAACTTGATACAATGATAGAATATCGATAAGATGGAAATGATTGGAGATATTTTGTAGACAACACTGTAAGTGGAAAAATAAAAAACTGTTGCTCCTTTATCGCGTAATGGCCTACTTGCTAATGGGAACACTGTAGTATAAAATTGAAGAGATAATTTCTATTTCCAAATAATTACTACTACTCCAACATTATCTCTGCATATACGAACAATATTGCACTCAATATAGGTGCCATTAAAAATGATAGACATGCGATAGACATGGTCGAACACATAGACACTAAATATCACCAATTTTATAACAATACTTACTCGGAACGTTATAAGATATAGCTTAATAATGAACATAAAAAGAACATTTTGAAAAACCATATTTTTTTATTTTTATATAAGTTATTTAGAGCTAAACAGTATTGGTACTTACAATGCATGCAAATTTAAAATGAATGACATTCAGCTTTTTCTACAACTAAGAAGCACATACAACTTTTCTACTAAAACAATTCCCTTTCTGATGAACATATTAGTTCTAAAAATGGAAAATTTTGTGACGCATTTGGATTATTTCGTACATTTAAGATTTTATAGTAAACAAAACAAATGAAATTTCAAAAATAAGTTCCAGAAGGTTTCTCTCTGTGCTAAAAAGTTTGATGTTTGGCACTTAGTGAAATGTTCAATCGTTTCTTGGCTTTTGTCTATGCTATTTGTCTAAATGAATGGAACATCGAGTTTTCCTTACAACTAACGGGTGATATATACAGGCTTTCCCACGAATACACTTTTCTTTATCGTGAATTTGGATTACATTGACGCGTGAGGTTTCTTTTCCTTCTTCTCTATTGATTCTTATATCTTTTCCTATAGAAAGTAAAAACTAACTGTTATTTATTATTTAACAAAATTATTTATTATAGAAATAACATTTAGAAAGAGAAATTGCACTTCGATCCTGTACTGCAGTATTATCATGTAGAGCATTTTCCGCTAAAAAATCAAAATTTTCCAATTTTCACGCTTACAGTGTTTTCCACAAGCGCTCTTCAGTTCTCCTTCAGGTGACAGATTTCGTTCGTGTGTCAAAGTCAGCAAATTTCAGGAAAATTGTTCTGTAAATGGCCGAATAATATAATATTCTACCGGAAAAGTGTGTCAAATTGAAACGAGGACGGCTAAGGGTTAGATCGATTATTATACGTATCATCTTCTCACGTTATTTGTATACTCTATTTCACTTGTCTGTTTACCAAGGACGGAATGTGGGGCATGAACTACGAACATTCGGCCGGCGAAGGTCCAGCAATTTTTATTACGTTCGAAGAACTAACAGAAAAGGTCGATGCCATGTCGCCACCCGAGGAAACTACGGTACCTTCGCATCTACCTGCGCCAGAAAAGCTGGAATGGCACCTATCCGAACAAAGCCTCAGCGATATCCAAGATGCAATGATATCTTTCGACGCGTGAGTAACGATGAAACATTCTCGATTGTCAAAAAAACTTCGTAGTTAAACTTTACGTTTCCTAACATCTTATACTATGGTCCGGTTCCTAAATCTTAATCTCGACGTTCTGAAAAACGAAGCAAAGCAATTTTCTTATCCTTGACTTTCATCATATTTTGAGTGATGGAATCTTTATATCGTTTGAAATCTGTATTACTTTCATGTATTTTAATTTTGCACTTGTATATAGATTGCATTTCGTATACAGATTGAGATCTTTACACTCACGATCAATGACGATACTAACCCTTAACGCTCCGACTTTTAATTGTGAATATCGACCGGCAACTCCAACTTATTCTCATCATACTTCGACTTGTAAGTTTTTAAGTGTCAGATTTTAACACGTTGGTCGCCACGTCACCCATATCTGTGTGACTGGTATGATTCCGTGGGGGCCCCGTAACCCAAATATGGGTGACGCCCTTCTTGTTGGAGTTAATTAAATATAGAATATTATATATAGGATATATAACATGAAAATACTAAAAAGACATTATACCATACTTTTTATTAATTTATATTCTGGATAAAATATTACATTATGCTATGTCGCATGGTATTCGTTAAAATATTCCAAACACATTTGGGACGATTTTGTACACTTCGAACAATATGTTGCAGTTCTTTTTACGTTTTTTCTTGCTTCTTGGCGTGCGACGGTTTGCCTCTTCTTCTCGTAACATAGGGCGCACATCCTTCTTATAGGCTTGCCCTGCTGATTCTTACGAATCTCCAAATGGCGGGACGCCTTCGTTTTTTTCCGATGGTTGTCGGGCACAGTATTTCCTGAGGACACATCGGATCATTCGGAAACGAAAATTTCCCGAAATTTTCTTATTTGAATTTTTTTGTTTGTGGCTGTTTGGTACACAATATGAGCAGTTACTATAGTTGTTCCTAAGAGTAAATGTAGTGATAATTTCCGATACTACTTGATGCTTTTCCGTATCGTAGTGGCATATGAGGCCATCTGGTCACTTCTGTCGATACCAGTTTTTCCATTATTGTATACTACTCTCCTCACTTTCAAATATATTTCCACGCTGTCTACTGAATATTTTAAGGATGAAAAAATCGCTGATGTGCGTCTCACAAGAAATATGCTTCTCGACTAAATGAAAGATCTGGGATATCTGCCATGAGAGCGTACCGACGATCGGATTTGGGCCCCGCGGGAAACTTTAGCCGAATTGCGCTGGGCAACCAACGTTAACACGTTGACTGTGTCGCGTAATAATTTAACAAATTATTGAAAAAGTATCGATCTCAAAATAGGAGATCGAGCTCTTTATTTCCACATACTTATACAATGATTGATAATAAACTTTTTATGATGTTCGAGGTTCATAACGATAGACTTTTAAAGTTTTGGGTAGTTTTGAATTATGCAGACTGCAAACTGGCAGAATAGCTCGGGTGATTTCGGGCGGAGTATTTATATTTTTTATTTGTTGAAGTGGGAGAAAAACTTTGGTCGTGCGGATCTATCACATGGTTGGATATTACTCTGGATTTTGGTTGTACGGATGTATCATGTTTAGAGTGATTGGATGTTACCCTGGCGGTGACTCATGATAAGACGGTTGGGATTAACTATCTTATCGGAGTCAAATTTACCCTGTGACAACTGCCACGACACTCGTATTCGGGTGTCAGCAAAGTTTCCGGTAGGGCCGCGTATCCCGTATTCGAGTGTCGTTTATTTGACTACTTGCGAAGGATCGTCGTAAGTATTTGAAAAGATATTCCAAAGGAAATGATAAAACTATTGAATTGTTATAAAAGTAATACGAAAATGGTTTATTAAAGAGTAGAGCGCCGCACGTCGGTGGTGAGTGAGAGACACATTTGGAGCGTTAAGGACTAAACATTCATAAGAAACAAACTTGATCGAATATTTTACCCGTTTATATCAATAATAGATGTTAATAATAACATACAATTATTAATTAAATATAGTAAAAAAAAATAATAACTAATAATTATAGTTTAAAAAAAATAATAATAACATATAATATGTAATATATAATAATAATTGTATTAATAGACTGGTGGAGGACCTGGACCTTTGTATTTTATGGTTTCAAGAATATTCGAAGGAATTTATAAAATCCCACAAGATTAGTCCAGATGTTTATATACAACTAGCATTACAATTTACACACTTTAGGTGAGTACCTATTTTATATTCAATAGTTGCCAATAGTTTTCCATATTCATTGTTTACTGCGAACAAATTTAAATTGCTAAAAGTATCTATACGGTGAGATACAAAATTAAATCATACAACGAAAGAATTGATCTTAGAGGTTTTAATCTTTAACACGTTGAATGCCACGCTAGAGTTACAGGGATTGCCCGTGGCGTCATGATGAATTTTTTATTATGCGATATAAATAATGTTGAAATATTACTTACAAGAGATAAGCTGCGGTGTATAATCATGTTTAATGAATTTATCTCACAGGGGTCACCAGTAACCCCCATGGCGCTGAAGCGCGATTTCGCGCGATTCACTTATTTTTTGCGATTATCAATTATCTCATATTGTTTCTTCGTGTTACTAAATAATTGTTCCACGTGTTTATTCTTGTCTAGAGCGTGTAACAATCAAGTAAGAGCGTTTATTATACTTTTATATGCTACACAAATGTTTGCACTTCATGTTTTCTATTTTTTAGTTAGCCCTTAAAGTTAATATAATTTCAAATGGAGATTATGCGTCAAGCAATTCCACTGACGATACATTTTTATCAAATCCCTCCAAACGATGTCGAGTACTGTCAGACAGAGGAAAGTTCTTTGAGCAGTTTATCTAATATGATAATAACAATATGCGTACATAATAGGTCTATATTTCATGTATAAATACAACTATTTTTATGTTTTATATTGCATTAATTTCGTTACACCATTGTAGTAACGATGGTAATAATGAAAAATTTATAATTATTGACATTTGTTCAAATTATGTATTTCTACTAATATTGGCGTGCCGGTAATAATGGCTCCCACGGCGCTACCGACAAGTTGTCACCGGTGACCCCCGTGGCATTCAGCGTGTTAAGCATTTTTTACTTCACTCTGTGAACATTGAGCTTCTAAACACTTCGGTCGCTTTATTAACATCCTACACGCTTATCGATTGACAAAAAAGATAATAAACTCATCTATCGATTTACACAAGACGTTTTTTATATGATTGACATTTGCGTAAAAGGAAGCTGCTAGTATAAGGCAAACACGTGGAAAGAAGAATGTTATAAACATATTTATTATAACCAAAAATTTTACTAGCATTCGGAAAATTGAGGGAATTTTAATGCGTGTGTGTGTATGTTAAATTGTAGGAAAAAACCGAATAGTGCGCTATGTGTAACTGCATAAATGTTCGAGGTATACATAGCTACTATTTACTATTTACGAAGTGTCACAATGGTCCTCGCTTATGTTAACACGCTGCTCAAAACAATTACGTTCTAATTATTATGAGATGTTCCTTCTTCCTGTTCCTGCGACTTTCTATATCCATACCATGCGTTCTTTTATGCTATGTTAGTTTATCTTCCAAATTATTGTCTTAAATGTATCACAGTGTCATATGAATAAGATATCTTATTAAGAGACATTAAGTCTATATAGCTTGTTCGTTTGATTGATGCTATAGAACCATTCATAAGAGCGACTTTTTATTGTTTTGAGCAACGTATCAACATATGTATTAACAGTGTGGTGAATAATTCGAGACACAAACGCATTTTCTGCATTATCTCTTCAGTATTTCCAAGAAACCACTGATCATGTCTAGATATATTAAGTGAAATTGTTCTTGCGAAAGTTAAATTGAACGCTACAGGATATCGAGAGATGTTACATGGCGAATTATTGCCTTTCATGACTAGAACAGAAGACAAAAGACATTTCTCAAAAGGAGGCCACTACAAAAAAGGTGGTTTCAAGATTTCGCAATAGAATTATTAACATGAACAGTATTGAGTGCTGATTTGAAAACGATCATGAACTTGTGGGAAATTCTTGTTTAAAAAAGTTTACGATCAGGAGAAGCCAACTATAGAAAATATCGTTGAACTTAAAAAAAAAAGAATAAAATCAATGTGGGCGATTATTTGAAACACAACTTTAAATAACTTAGAGGATAGTGTATCTAATAGTTTAATAGAAGTAATCAAAAATAAAGAGCAATCCATTAAATGCTGAATGAAAACATAAGAAAATTGAGTTTATATTCTTTCACAGCCACAAACATAATTTTAAGAGAAAATTTAATTTCTTGCAAACCTCAAAAGAAGGGAATTTCTGTTTGTTGTATTTTCAATTTTGTATTATATTATAATATGAAATTATATAAACAATTTTGTCAATCTTTGTTTTAATATTATGAAATATCTAAAAATAGGGTTGACTTTATAATTGTTCAGGATACTGTACATATGCACTCTGAATTTATTAACAACTATAAAAAAGCTAATAATAAATTCTTATGTCTAAAATCTTTTGTTTGGAACAGATTGCATGGAAACTTAGTAGCAACTTACGAGAGCGCAGGCATTCGAAGATTCGCATTAGGAAGAATCGATTGCATCAGAGCAGCCAGCCCGGAAGCTCTGGCCTGGGCGAAGGCCATGTGCCAAGGGGATCCCGAAAGTCAAACCACGAATCAGCAAAGCAACACCCTAGACGATGGCACCAAAAGAGTTCAGTTCACCATTTACAGTGTAACTGAAACTTGGCTGTATTTCGTAGAGTTTGTCGTTTGTAGCGACACGATACTCCCCATAGACGAGATATTTTCAAAACATAACGACCATCCAATTACTTAAGCTTTAGATTACGCTAAAACTGTGGAAAGACTGACTAGGCTCCGATTTTAGGATATGTGGTAGAAGTTGATATTTTGAACAATTTCTCCTATACATATAAAGGCTGAATTCGTTTAGTCTCTGAGATACTCGCGAAAAACTGCTACGGTGAATTCTACCTATAATTGCGCATCTGTGGCAATGTATGTGTCAGCATTGATTATCGAGCGTGAAAAATAACACTTAACCCAAACCGATAAACTATAAGTAAAACATGATATATAATAATAGTAACGTAACGTATATGTCAGAATTGGTTGCTGAGTATGAAAAATGACACCTGACCCAAACCGATAAAGTATAAGCAAAAGAATTAGGTTTGGTTTAGGCGTTATTTTATCCGGCGGATAATGAGACATCCAGCAACCAATATTAATGCATACGTTGCCAAACATGCGCAACTATAGTATGTTCGTTTTAGTTGTATAAACACGATTACTTCTGTAAGTATCAAAAGTACAGAAAGATGTTTCAGACAAAAGTAGTATGGTATGAAAGAGAGCATAATCTGGTGAAGTTAGCTTTTACATAGATGGCCAAGTAGAGATCTTATGAAGGTGATATACATTTTTTTTTATGGAATCATATAATTTTAAATACTGTAATAGATCCGTTTCAACATTCTCTACAAAAAAGTGGCCATCTAATTATGCAGAAAAATCATTAGTTTAGAAGATATTTTAACTTTAATTTGTCAAATTTAACGTACGGTAGACGAAGAAAGACGCAAGCTGATAGTTTAATACGTTAAATTCTACAAATTAAAGTTAAAATATCTTCTAAACTAATGATTTTTCTACATAATTAGGTGAATACTTTCTTTGTAGAGAATGCTGAGGCGGATCGATTACTGTATTTAAAATTATATGATTCTATCTAAAGAAACCTATATGTCATCTTCATATAACATCTACTTGGCTATCAGCAAAAGAATCTAATTACTCCAGATTATGTCCTCTTTGATATCATACAACTTTTATTCGAGACATCTCTTCCTATTTTTGATACTTATAGAAATAATTCCACCAGCAGTTCTTTGTAAATATTTCGGAAACTAGGCAAGTCCAGCCTTTGTATACATAGAAAAAGGTAACTCAGAATCTTAGTTAACTTAAGTTTTACAAAACTTAAGTTTTACAATATACCAAAAATCATCGAAATCGAAGTCTAGTCAGTCTTTTCACAGTTTCACCCAAATTACTCAAGCTTTTCATCTTTCTTTCACTTTTCGCAAGTTCTCATACTCATCTACAGAGGTGTACGTACACAGCATTAATCCGAAAAGAAGAACCGAGACCATAAATACGATTCCACAAAAACGACAAGCGGTGGACAAGTCTATATAGATGGGAAAAATAACGAAATAATAAAGGAAGGGAGACTCTTGAAGAAAAAGGCAATCAATTAAACTAGACCGTGTTCGCTCTTTTTCCCGTTGGAGTGTTTGCCTGGTCTCTCGAGTGGCCTCGGGCGAGTTTCAGGGAGGTTTACCGTTTGCTTTCTTTCCGCGGTTCACCCTCGTCTGGAAAATGGCACGGCGAGCTGACTGTTGTTTCTCGTTTATCACGATGTTATTTCAGCCGTCCTCTATCCCGCAATTACTCGGCTGTTCATCGAAAATGCACGATAATGAAATTGACTCCCTCCGTGCGTGTAGTTTTCTACCCTAACGACTAACGAGCCCATACGTTTCCGTGGATACACTCGTTTTCGTGTACCGTATACAGAATGTTTCGTAGTTTGCACTAACAACAGAAAATGGGGTGGTTGATCGCCTAAAAATATTTATGTACGTATATAGTCACAACCAGACAATGTTTTCTTCTTATATGCATAACTTCATTTCCGATCAAGTTAGTTTTCAATGATTTTCACGAAAGAAATACTAGGTACTCAAATGTCAAATTAACAGTTGACAATGGGAGAACAAACGAGTACTAATCAAATCGTAATGGTTTATATACAGAATAATTTTAGTAACTGGGACGGACTGTAGTTTTATTGGAGCGAAAAGTTATAGTTAGGAAAAGGTTATAAAGAAGAATGCACCGACACAATTTCACTTTTCCTTAAATGGAGCTCTACGATTTTCTTTTGTATAAATTAGTTCCTCATATTATTTTGAGACGAAGCTCTTATAAGTTATAAGTCAGTATCATCGAAATACAGTAAAACCTGTCTTATCCGAACTGATAAGGAGACAAAACTGTTGGGATAATGAAATTTTCCGATAATGAAACGATCATTTTCCCGATGTGAAATTTCATTTATTCAATTACAGATTAAGATTAATTGACAGATTCTTTAAATATTTATGAATCCCATATCTTGTTGACTGCTGAATCACATAATTCTGCATACAGAAGAATCTCTTCTTGTACTGCGAATCATCGAAATCTTTTACAAAAAGGCACCTCTTCATCGTCACTTTCGTTTGCTACTTTTCCTTTTAATTGCGTGTTTAGGATCACGCGCGCCTTCTACAGCTATTAGTGACCACGTTCAGTGGAACGAAACGAATCTACAGCAAGTTATAGAAACCAGCGTCTTTTAGAAAATCTGGAGCTCGCTTGTTGCTTTCATTTGTGTAGAATCGCCATTATTATCGTCTTTATCGCAATGAAACTATTTCATTACCTCAGTATATTTAAGGCTTTTTTACTATTGCCACCATCAGAGGAATATGCATCGGATAATTTTCAATATGATATTTTTATTTCTTAATGTCTGTGATCGCGGCTTTCCCAATCTATGTATTCTTAGTAATTCTGTTGCACTTGCACCACTTTCGAGTTTCTTAATTATGTCGTAGCTTGTTTCAATAGTTAGAACGCTATTAGTTTCATAATAAATTCTTATAATCAAAACTCAATTAATCGAATCAAGGATAGAGTACGTTATATATGAACACTAATACAAATATGTATATATTTGAAAGGAGAGAAATGAAGAAGGGAATACTGAGAAATACTATGTTTAGATAATACAGCGTTTGGATATTAGGATATTCGAATAAAAGAGATTATACTGTACATATTTCTTTTTAAATTCACGCTCAACAAACGCTCAAACAAACATTTTCCTAAACATTTTCTTATTTTCTAACTTTACCTAAAGTAAAACTATAGTTCGTCTCAGAGTTAATATATGAAGACCACCGATAAAAAGCATAACAAATCACATTTTCTGTCTTTTATAATACAGCACTTTAAAAATTCAGTACGTTGTCAACCGTGCTTCAATTAAGTACACATAATTATATTACATTACGTTACACATAAATATATTAATATTTTTTATCAGTGAATAATATACGACGCTATAATATACGACATATAACACACGATGCATATTAACGTACATTCTGCCTTTGTGCAGGAATCAAATTCGTTCAAAGGTATAATAAATTTTCGAAATTAATTTTTCTTAGTAATTAATATTAATGAATATGTACAACAAAATGCGAGGCATCATGTATACGAAAGTACTTATATATATATACACGCATACATTTACATATATTAACATGAACTTAGTATGTTCATTTTCTGCGTACAAATAATTCTTTAATGTTAACATTTCTAATGAATTACTGCAGAGGTGCAGATATATAAATATAGAATATACATATGTATATGTTATTTTCGTTCACCATTGAAATGGTCCGTTTGCAATGGCTTTTTCAGCAAGAGAGGATCAAGGAGCTGTTTGATTTGGCAGTACAACGACAGACTAAGGAAATGAACGACAACATAAATGGTTATGGAATCGACAACCACTTAATGGGCCTCCGTTACGCCGCGCAAGAAGCTGGAGAGCCAATCCCGGATATTTTCACTGATCAGGCTTATAAGATCGTCAATCATTTTGCTCTTTCCACGTCACAGGTTAATAATGATGATCAACGATTGATCGATACTTGAAACTCTCACATGTATGCCACTTTCATGTAGGCTTTCGTTCTCCAACACCTCAAAGTTGTCCACACGAGATCATTATACACGATGACCAAACAGATCTGTACCACTTCATCATCATCATCATTATCTGTCAGATTGATTCTGCATACTACATAAATTATTAGTTGTACATCTTTATGTCCAAATTGATTACGAGATTATTAATATAATAATTTATTAGAGTCTCCGAGCACAGTAATTTGCTAGCTAATTACGTTAGCAAACTGATAAATTACTAGGTATACAGCGCTGTGAATAATTATAGACTCAAACACATTTTCTGCATTATCTCTTCAATATATTCAAGACACCACTGATCATGCCTGGATATGTTGAGTGAAATTGTTTTTGTAAAAGGTAGACTGAACGCTACAGGATATTAGGACATGTTACATGGTGAATTATTACCTTACATAACTGAAATGGAAAGCAAAAAACATTTTTTTAACGAGACAATGCTCCTATTCATACAGCTGCCACTACAAACAAGTGGTTTCAAGATTACGGAATAGAATTATTACTTATAATTAGAATTATTAGTCAGCATTGAATGCTGATCTGAATCCAATCGAAAACCTGTGGAGAATTCTGGAAAAGTTTACGATCAAAAGAAACTATCTATAGAAAATATTGAACTTAAAAAAGAATAAAATCCGCTTTAAAAAAATAAAAGGAAAGCCACTAAATATTGAATGAAAATGTAACAAAATTAACATATTTCATATTTCTTCACAGCAACAAACACAATTCTAGGAGTAAAATTCATTTCCTCCAAACTTCGAAAGAAGAAGATTTCTGCTTGTTGTATCTTCAGCTTTATTTTATATTATAATATGAAATTGTATAAACGATTTTCTCAATTTTAATGTTTTCTCATTTTAATATTATGAAAAATATATATATACTGCATAAAGATTATGATTTTACGATTTTACAATTTGACAATTTTAGTACTTAGTAAATTACAATTGAAGTGATTAACATTTACTTGTAGCATCGAAACATTAAACAAATCGATCAATCGAATTTCTGCTTAAATTCTATTTTTTCTAATAATCTTCTTAATAATTTAATTTCTAATAATCCCTATTTTAATCTCCCCCGTACTTTAAATATCGACTAACAAGAAATATCCAATTTTCAGGTAACTTCGAAAAACGATGCAATCATTGGTTACGGTCCAGTAGTGCCAGACGGTTACGGTTGCGCTTACAATTTGAGAAGCAACGCCATCATATTTTCTGTATCTGCTTTTCATAGCGATGGCAGGACGAACGCAACACGTTTCGCTCAAACGCTCAAGCAAAGCTTATGGGACATGGCAGACATGTTAAACAGAGCGAATCAGAGATAAACTGGCGACTAAGAGATAAAGTCACGCCAAAGCAAAGTATTAAGATGCTAGATAGAAATAATGATCATTTCTCGGTTGCGAGTCCGAAATCATATCGAAAGGAAGTATACTCGAGCTCGTCTGAGAAAGTATTTAGCGTAGTACGAATAGTAAGCGTTTAAGAGAACTGTTCGCATTAGAACTCACACAATTTGCTAGATATCGCTGATTTGATTCCTCTTTAAAATCATGAATAGGAATAGAACAGAACCGATGCAAAAACTTTCTATATCTATTTCGAATAATCTGTTTCCAATGAATGCATTTTAGCTAATAATTCTACATATCATAGTGAATTTTGTATTTGATTGTTCCCTCGATTCATGTTCGTGATATAATAACGCAAATACGAATAGAAATAACCAAAAGAAATTGTGTCATTTGAAAGAAATTTTGTCTCGCTATTCTTCCCAGTTTACATATTTGATATTTAATATCTTCTTTTAAGTATTGTATAATATTGTCGATAATTTTTCTGATAATTAAAGATAGTAAGTTTGTTTGTAAAAAATACTAATCTATGGTTATCTTAATGAAACTGTTTTAATTTTATTTTAAAATTAGAAAAGATATACATGTTCCCAGGGGCAGAGTCTATTAAGTCAAACTTTTCAAGCTTTAAAGGAGAGGAAATCAAAGTTGCAGAAACTTTGTAACAAAATGTGCAACTATTATCAGTTTTACATTTTTATATTAAAAACTAAAGGATTAAAGAACGACAAAATTCTTATCGTCGGGATAACTTTAATACGGGTAACGTAAAATGTCTTTTTTTTTCAAAGTGGACTCAATTATTATTACATATTTACATGTAACAATATTTTATTACAATATTTTAAGTAAGAAATGATTCGTTACCTTAATTTTAAGTTACTATAATATTTTTTAAACTCAGTTAAAATAATTGCTTCTCTCTCTCTCTCTCTCTCTCTCTCTCTCTCTCTCTCTCTCTCTCTCTCTCTCTCTCTCTAATATATTATATTACAGAATTAAACTTCAATATGCAAAGACTCTCCATCAAATGACACAATTTGTTTTAACAAAGATTATAAATTACCGTACGAAGGAAGCCTTCTATTACGAGCAATACATGTATAGAAATATCACGTTCATCTTACTTGTTATTACAGTTATCGATATACATATCTAGAAGAAAACTGCGTTAATCATCTAATCGTTAATAAACTTAAAAAATTCTTCGCAAATCACTGGACACTGTAATCTCATCTGTTGTTAAGTAGGTACACGCGTACAAATGTTTATCAGGTAATTGACGACCAAAGCCGAACAAACCGAGACGAAAACGTTTAAACGGTAGTCACTGCGTGTAGTAGGCAATATAGATCGATCGGTCATTGTAAAACTCTAGTCCTGTTACGAAGATCCTCGAACATTTATGTCCGAGCGCTGGAAGTTCCTTTCCACCGAAAGCGAAGTTTCGTTATTTCCCTATCGCTTGGTTTTAATCGTGCATTCACGATTAAAGGGGGTCTAATTCTAATAATTAGTTGTATTGTTAAACTATCGGTGCTTTAACGGGTTTAGCCACGTGAATTGGATGTTCTATAGTGACATGTAACCTTAAATGTAATCAAACGATTAGTTAGTAATATCTAGGGATATTTAGAAACTACGAAAATGTTAATACACGTAGCTTCATGTTGCGAAATTCAAATAATTTAAGAGTAATTCGACGATTAAGTGAGATATATCGATATGTTTGGAAGCAATGACATTTACTTTTATTGTTAGCTCGATGAGCGTAGATTTTATTGTTAGTTGTCTCACTATGAAGCGTACATTTTATTGAATCTGTATGCATTGAATGAAAAAGGCATCCAAAATGTGGTATTCTGTCTCAGGAGAAAGCATTAATTAATCACGTTTGACAAAACATAGTTGAATATCGATGTACCTTTATCTTCACATACAACGACTCACAAAAGTATTCGAACATCCTTTAAAACAGAACTATCTTTCTTAATATCGAACCAAACGTCTTGACTTCTTTTGACAAGTTAGATGGATTGGTGCTTAACGTTACTATGAGTCACAAACGATTGGCGAAAAATGGTGAAAATCGCAGTTTCTCACGAGTTTGGACCTATGACTGTAATACATCTAAAGATTCTTACATCTTTCGATGTCTGTCCCTTGTTTCTGCATCAACCGATTTCGATGAAGTTTTTAGTACGTATATAATTAAGATAAATCTTAACACATCTTTCAAATTTTTATTACAGGCTCGAATAAGGAGATTGTAAAAAAGACCTTTACTATTTTCTTCGTGATTTCGACCAGTTGCAATTTTTTCAAATATTTTTATAAACTGGTTAACTAATTCATCTATGTTCCCAAAAAAAATTCAAGTCGTTTGGTCCAATGTGAGAAAAGATATTCTGTTTTAAAGGGTGTTCAAATACTTTCACGAGTCACTCTAAGTAAACTTTATAGCTCAATTATTGTAAGCAATTAACATACCACAGTTATTTTCTGTAGAATTGATAATAACCCATCGTTTAAAACTGTAAACAAGAATACGTTTATTCAGTGCTATGATGATTCAACTATTTCGTGTGAGAAAGTATCAAATCTTCCTGTTAACCCTGCTAGTGTCCAATTTTTCTATCTTAATATCGCTTTCATTTCAACTACAATTTTGTCATATTTTTCTCAAGCCAAAATTATTCACTAAGAATAGGAAAACGCTATTACGTTAAAAATGATGTAAACGATGCAACAGACTTAAATACAATTTTGAAACAAACTGCCTTATTTGGCAAAAAGATGATATGTTTCGACATGAAACAGTAGAAACGTAATACATAATAATACGTGCCAATTAAACGATTGGAAACTTTGATTACTTTTACGTCATAAAAAGGAAACGTATATATTTTGTACAATCTGACGTATACTTTACAGATATTGTTAAATTATTATAACAAAAAAATTTAATCTCGAAGCATCACGATATAAATTTCTTCGTAACGGAAGCACTTTAAACACCAAGTACAAAATCTTAAACACGTGTTTTAGATTTACTAAACTGTTATTAAGTGAAAGATTTATTTATATCATATCAAAATTATAAAATTGCTGTCGAGTATGAAACATAAAATATCAATCGTAAAGGCTGTAAAAATATATCATTCGCGGTATTAAGCTTGTTTTATAGTTTGATACCTTTACAGTAAAGACAACGAAGAGACAGAGTACACGAATAGAAGTTGAAATACTAAATAACTCGGTAAGGTAGAGAAAAGATTTCTAGCGCACGGACCTCGTCTGTCGCAACACATTCTAAACGTGGCCAATCGTTCGTGTTTTGGCGCCCGCACAGTAAACTCTTGTCCAATTCTTAGGTAGGTCAATGGTTTGCCCTTCTTCGATAGACAGGCAAACGTTGATGATAGCTCTATCTCTCTATCACATTAATGTTCTACGTCTAATTAACTACTACTGTAACTAACGCTACTTTTCTTATATACCAAGCTCTGTCGATAGTGAAAAATGCAATTTTCATTTCAAAGGATAGAAATATTAACGATCGGCGCTACTGTCACTTACATCATTACTCTCATCCTATTGTATCAAATTATCATACTTTACCGTAATTTAGAATCAAACAGAAATGATATATATATACACACATATATACATAACATATATACGCCTATACATATGCATAGCGTAACACACGTTACATACTACGACACATTTGTTGACATTATTTATATTTTACGAAGCTGTTTGTTAGCTTTGTTATAAACTACATACTTCCAATGTGCAAAACACGCGTGTTTTAGGGTTGTCATTAAGGCTTAGCAAAGTTTTCTTGCGCTAAAGCATAAATGTTCTATTGAAAATAGTGTTTTATCTAATACATATATTGTCGTTAAGTGATGAATTTGTTGCGTATTACATTAAATCGGAAATTTTATATTCATGGTCTGAGCAATTGTTTGCTTCGACTTAAACGTAGAGTGAATCTTCAAATAATGCGAGGAATTGTGGTGGTTCCTTATACTGTTACTAAATAAAAGTATATATAAATATACATATATAACTCAATACACGTACATATACGCACATATCAAGAAACGTTTAAATATAAAAAATCTATATCTGTTTTCGCGCATATGTGTACGATATATGTATGAAAGTGTTCTGTATTATTTTTAATCTTAAGCTGCAAATACCTATTAAATTTAAAATGAAACGGGATGTCACCATTAGAAGTAGTTATGCGGATCGCAAAACTGTTGCGATCGTATTTTCGCGGCCAAGAATATCGCGCATATCAGGCGAAAGCCAACATAGCGACGACTATATCAAATAGAACATACGCTAAACTTATTAGAATTACTTACGAAATAAAGTCAACTGATTGTGGGCTAAAATAACATATATATAAAAATTCAGTCAGACATTATTTCAAAATACAAATATTCCTTACGAAGACTGCTGTCGTTGATATGAAATTATATCATATATCTTATAAGATGTAATAAAATAATAAACAACAGTTGGTAATGATAGGTGACAATTGCAGAATCGCAAAAAAAACAATTCTTTATGAAATAGTCGTCTTCGTATGCGATATATATATTTAGTAATGTTAAACTTGTAAGCACACTTCACTTTCTGTTTATATGGAAAGTATACACAGCATACCTCTGTAATTAACTAATTTGCGGCAAGTATGTTGTATCATGTGTACGTTTTCTTGTGCAAAAATAAACACTATTGTGACACCACCTTCTACTTTTATTTCCTTTTTTTTAACAATACAATGTTTTCGTTAATCACAGTGCAATGTTTAACTACAAAAAACAAACAATTTATTTTCTGTATTATAAAATAATTTACAACAATATTATACATATATGTATGTATGTACACAATGTAAGTACCTTCTTCAAAGGTAGGAATGTTAAAAATTTACATACATCAGCGGCATTATATTTTGTTGCTATAGTATTAAAAAATACATGCTTTATGTTAGAAAATTACTTTTCTTCTTAAAACATTTTTGCCTTAATACTGCATAACCAGATTAGTACTTATTATCTAGATGCCTAATTTTTCCAACTTTTTAGAATACAAATACGAGAAAACAACCGTAAAATAATCTGAGAGAGGAAACTGGTATGGTAAAAGTATATGAACTATCAATATATTTAACCTGATGCAGGTAACAACGGTGTTATAAGTTAATTTATGCTTTCAAACTGAAAGAATCTACATACGAATTGACTATCCCTATTATGCTTATTGTCGCAGTATCAACAAGTCGGCGTTAACATCTTCGTATGCTTGTGTAAACGGAAGTGTAAGTAAGGCATTTGCTGTCAACCTTTTCTTTGGATCATGTTGTAAACATTTCCTAATTAGGTTATCTCCTTCAATGGAAAGATTTTTGGGCAATGCTGGAGTTTCACCCATTCCCACCTAAAGGAATTAATACATAAAATAAAACAATGTAAAAGGTAAACATTCTGGAGGGAAGCGCGATTACTATCACATACCTTAAACATAATTTGATAATTAGAATCATAATCTGACCAAGGTCTTCGTCCACTCGCCATTTCTATAACGCAGCAACCAACTGACCAAATATCAGCAGCTCTACCATGTCCACTACTTTCTGATTTCATAAATACTTCTGGTGCCATGTAAGCTATGTGCAAATATTAAATGTTAAATTATTTTTTAAGACACAATATCACAAATATTAGAACGAGGTACAGGAAGCTACTGTTATTTGTTAC